AGGAGATCAAAACAAATTTGTTGGGACTGCAATGGTAACCACCAAAAGAACTGAAACCGGAAATGGGTGAAGTGCTTTGTACTTAGAGAGCTTTTATTTTTTTATTTGTACCATTCTTAGAAATTTTCTTTTTTTTAAAAAAGAAGTCTATGTATTGCTTTTATAAATAACAATTACTTTAAATAAACTAATCAAGATCAAAGAGAAAGAAACTCTTAAGTTTTTGAAACTATCATAGTACTGACACCACACTCTGAGAAAGCGATAAACTTTTAATTTTAGAAATTTGTAAATATTGGTACAAATGTATGTTAATAAATCAGATTTGGTATTAAATTAAAATATTGATGTGATGCACCCAAAGAGAGATTATTCCCAGGACATAAAGATATTTCAACATCAGGAAATCAATTCATACATTTCTACATATTAACAAATTAAGGAAAAAGCCACGATCATCTCAACAGACTAAAAATTCAGCATTTTTCCTGATTAATAAAGTCTTATAGTGAAAGACAAATAGAAGTAATACATTTTTAACATGATTAAAGTAGGTGAAACATGTATGACAAAATTTTGCTCTTTAATACATAAAGTGCTCTTACAAGGCAACAAGAAAAAAAAATACATCCAATAGAAAAATATCAGTAGAAGGCAAATCATAGAGTAAATAAATTGTCCCCAGAACATTGAAAAAAATCTTCAACCTTATTTTATTTAAAGAAATGTAAGTATATACCACAAAATAAAAATTTTAAACTACTATATTGACAATGATTAAAATGTTAATGCTCAGTATTGATGAGATTGAAAGCGTGGACTCATTTGACTGGAAGATGTACATATTGAGGAAAAAGGAAGGCAATTCCTCAATATATCAAAAAGCATTAAAAGTGTATATACTTTCTGATCTAGAAATTCCACTTCTAGGAGTTACATCTAAAGAAAGCAACATTCAAGATGGATGCTCACCAAACTTAGCAACAGAATTAACTACTAAAACATTGTATTTTATAATGAACGATAGAAATAAACCAAATGTCCAATAATAAAATAATAGTTATATTAATTGATTAGTCCATATAATTGAATATTATTCAGCTATCAGACACATCGATATGGAAGACAACTCATGATATATTCAGTGATAAAAGCAAAGCTTCAAGCAATATAACAATATTATCTTGTTTCTGTTTAAAATTATCTATCAATCATCTACCCACCTACCTACCTACTTACCTATCTGAAAAGGGCTGAAAGAATGTTTATCTTGATGTTAATGTTAATTACCACTGATTGAAATTTTCTAATTTTCTTTGTTATACATTGTGTATCTTATATTGTTATCATATATTATTGATCATTTTTTAAAAAAAAAACCAAGCAGGTATTTTTCTTTTGGAATAAAAAACATACAGTTGACCCTTGAACAATGTGGGAGTCAGAGGCACTGACCTCCCCCCACACACAGTTGAAAATCCATGTATAATTTTTGACTTCCCCAAAACTTCAGTTGTTTCTCAGTATCCATGAGGGGACCGGGCCTAGGGCCCCCCAAGGACACCAAGCTCTGCAGATGTTCAGACATCCTATTAGAAATGGGGTGGAGCACTGCATACAGCTGGCCCTCTGCAGCTGCAGGTTCCCAACTGTTGATGGAAAACAGAATAGGTAGTTACTGGAAAAAAAGTCATGTATAAATTGATCTGTACAGTTCAATCCTGTGTTGTTCAAGGGTCACCTATAAATGTTATTTAAGGTAAAGGTATGTATATATTTTCTCCTTCTGTAAGGTAGAACAAGAGTTTATAGAATGAGTCTTATAAATCAATTACAAAATAAAAATGACAGTAGAAAAATAGATTGTAGATGATTCCCAAAATAAAACTATAAATGACCTGGGAACAAGAAAAGTTCAACCTCACTAGTAAAATAAAAAATAAAATTAAAATGAGATTTTTTTTCTATGACCATATATACTAAAGTTTTCTTAAAATTAATTTTCTATGATTGCAAATGATTAGGGATATATGATCTCTTGTACAATGCAGAGAGGAGACCCTATTTCTAGAGAGTGTGGCAATACATAACAAAAACCTTAATATTGTGCATACCATTTGGCCCAGATATTCTCCTTCTCAGAACTTCCATAAAGAGATAATTATGAGCATGTTCAAATAAAGATGATCATTATAATATTATTTATAATAGTGAAAATTAAAAAAATTCAAATGTTAAAAGAATAAGAGATTAACTAAATTATATTCTAGCCTTTCAAAATGGCATATCATTCAAAAATCAAATTAGCCTTTTTGAAGACTATTTCATGGCATGGAATAAGTTCATAATAAACTTCAAAGTGAAAATAAGTGTTCTTTTTTTGCTCCATCACAATACCAAAAAATTATTATGGTGCCATGTGATATCTACTGGTACTCTTGCCATTCATGACATTTGACCACTTAAGGTGACTTGGTGTCTCATCGATGCCCATTCTGACCCTTGTTAACAACAGCACTGTGTGTCTCTCTCATCTCTATTTTTTAATTCATACACTGATTTTAAAATGGGAAAAATCTTTACTTAGAAAAAAACAATACTTGTAAATAGTGGGTTCACGTTCCTCAAATATAGAACATTGGGATGAGCACCAAGGAAATTAGAGTGATCTAAGCATAACTTGAAAATACATTTAGAGGTAACAAAAAGATAAACATACCATCTACTTGACTTTCTGATTAAATTGACAATGCTACAATAATTTTGTTTGCTATTGAATAAAAACACTTGGATACAAAATTAATAATATAAGGGGTATATAGTGTGTGCTCCAAAACCACATGCAAATTACAGATCGCCTCCATACAGTCCTGGAGGTTCTCTAATGAGCTGAAGCACCCACAGTACGGTGGTTGGGTGCTCACTCTTTCAGTCATAAACTAGACTCCTGTTGCTCTGTGTGCTTGGGCCAGCTACACAGTCTCTCTTTACCTGTTTACTCAACAATAACGCAGGGATATTAACTTAATAAACTGCAATAAACTATGCAGTTTAAATTAATATATTTAGAGTCCTTAGAACATACATGATGAGTATTTAATAAAAGCTATCTGGTAGTATTATTTTTAATAACTGTTACTATAGTGGAAGTTGTACTTGTTATTTTAGATGTCAATTACTTTAAATATTTAAGAAAGCTGAAAGGGTACATAATGTTGATTTGCTTGCTTGCCTACTCACTCACGGTATTTACCTATATTTCTATGATTTTTTTTTTTTTTTGGCTTTGCCTTCTTGAATATCAGAGCCTAAAAAAACACACAGACCAAGAACTGGTGAGGCTGTAGAAGCCACGAGAAAGAGACAGGGAAGCCTGGGCTCTCCTTCAGCAGTGGGGAGGGACGCAGGCCCGCTCACGGTGGCAGATGATAGAGCCAAGGCTATGGAAGCCATGTCTTGTCTTTCCTTTAGAATAAAATTATCTTGGCTGGCATAACCTAAAGATGTCTTTGAAGTTTGCAGAGCACGTATAACACACATATGTGAACCATTTATAATATGCCATGGATATCCACCCGAAGTTTCTAGACTTGTGGGTGACCCGCTCCAATTTCTCCTTGTTTTTTTTTTTTTTTTTGGCCTTCTGTTTTGGACTCATGCTGCAACCTCATTCTTCATCTAGTCCTTTGAATGACTGTCTCGATTTGAACTTAAAATCAGGAATTTTATGGAAAGCACCTCTCTAGTTATGTCTCAATCCTAACTTCCAACTTCCCCCTTTATAAATCAGAACGATGAATAAGCACGTCCTTCCATTGTCACAGCCCATGGACTTCAGCTCTGGCCTAAAAAGGGAGAGAAATGAGATAACAGACAGGTAGGCAGTGATAGAGACTGTGTACCGAGCAGTCAAATCAAATGGGCGGGAATGTGAGCAGGAGGATTTTAGAGAGTAATACTGATAGAATATCGGGGTGAAGGAGAGGACAAAGCCTCGGGGAACTTCTATGTTTTTGTCTTGGTTGCCTGCAGTGACTATGAATAGGAAATGGGAGGTTTTGCAGCAAAAATGATAAGTTGTTGCAGGAAGGTGGATTTGGAGATTTCAGGTGGAGCCTTCTGGCAGACCGTTGAAAATCTGCTTTCAAGAATTTAGCCCATTTCTCCATTGCCTAACTACTAATTAGTTTGAATTAAAGTAAGCAGGTATAGTGTAGACTGCTATTTTCTCTTCCCTGTTTATTTGCTTTTCGGCAGAATTTGGGTTTGTACTCGTATCATTCATGTTGACCTTGGGTTAAGATACACTGTGTGGAGCTCCACTGAGACATCTAGTGCACCAGAGATTTGAGTCTCAGAGTATTTGGTAAAAGAATCATGAGATGTAAAATGATAGGTTATCATGCAGAAAGTTGGTAAGCAACACTATATTAATTCTACTGCCTATTAAATTGGTTTCTTAAAGGAAAAAATGTCAGAGGGCCCAAAAATTCATGTTTGAAATAACTCAAAGCCATAAGAGCATCTTGTGAAATCCCATATTATAAACAATGGTTTATGGGATTTAACAGACTGTGGCAATAAATTCATAAGTGACAAATTTAAAATATGTGGCTTCAAAAGTAAATGCAGAAGAAAAGGTAATACTTTGCAAAAGGTGTATAATATCAGTCCACAGGATATTTAGAAAATTATTATGGTCAGAGCGCTTATTTTTAAATATGAAATAAAAAGGGAAAAAGCTAAATAACTGAGAAAGGACAGAAAGTCTTGGAAAGAAAAAAAATTAACATTAAAGCAAAGAGAAAGTTCCCAATAAAAATGTCAAAGAAAAAGATAAATTTGTAAGACACAAAAACGTTTTTTCTGAAAAACTTTAGGAACAAAATAAGCAGGTCAAATTCATTGCAAGCACATACAAAGGAAAAGCTTATAAAAGAGAAGAAGCACAAAGACAGAAAAGTGAACTAAAAAAACACAGTAAGAATAAAGCCTTGCTGACTTGTCATTTTATTCCTTAGTAAACCACAACTCTGCAGATTATAAACAAATATAAAAGTATGCTTTAGATGCAAGAAAGAATTTCAATGAAGAAAACCCCCCAATATTGGGTATGGAGACAATGAATAGTTTTTCCTTCTTTTTTGCTTTCTCTGCTTTACTTAAATGCCTTACATGAAGCTACCTTACTTTCATAACAGACAAGAATTAACTCTATCAAAATGAAGCTCTGTATCACATTTCATATTAAAACTTAATACGGCAGAGTCTTATTCTGCTGCCAGCTAATTCAGGAACTGAACAGATGACATTATTTCCCGTGCAATGTGTGATACAAACTGTCTCTGTGAGGAAGAGTAGTTATCTCTGGTTATCTGACACACACCTAGCCTGTGTCTCTAATCATTAACCTTCAATAGATTGGTCTGCTCTCTTGAGTTCTGCACTCTTTTGTTGAGCCCCCAGAAACAAACAACATACTGCTCCTGTCTGCTATTATTCTTTCCTATCTAGGTCTTGTTGGGCCCCTGGCTTTGGAGTCCTCTGGCTCGCAGAGTCTGAGAGGACACGGCAGTGTTTTGTTGGCTCGTCTTGGACCTTAGACGCTCGCGGCTCCGTCTGCCCTGTCACACATGCGTTCCAGAATTCGGTGAATGCTGGCGAAACTGGGTCTGTCCGCAGGCAACCTGCTCCAACACAGACGCATTAGATTGTACAGCTCCAAGGGACAATTCTCAGGGCAGGAGAGGATGTTGCCGTCTCGCACATAGTAAATGACCTCCTCATGGGCCATCCCATAGTAGGGCTGCAGGCCGTAGGAGAAGATCTCCCACAGGACCACACCGTAGGCCCACACGTCGGACTCCGTGGTGTAGCGGTTGTAGAAAATGGACTCAGGTGGCATCCAGCGGATAGGGATGGCATCGTTCTCGTTAGCTTTGTAGTAGTCCGCTGAGTAGATGTTCCTGGAGAGGCCGAAGTCAGCAATTTTCACCACCATGTTCTCACCCACCAGGCAGTTCCTGGTGGCTAAATCCCGGTGGACGAACTTGCGCTCCGAGAGGTAAGCCATGCCAGCCGCTACCTGCCTGGCTATGCAGAGCTGCTCAGCACAGGAGAGGGGCGGGGGCCCCGGGCTGGAGACCTGAGCCCTCATGGACAGGTCGCTGTGACTGAGGCTGCACACGCTGTGAGGGGACATGCTGCGCAGAAACTCGTTGAGGTCGCCATAGGCCATGTATTCGAAGAGCAGGCACATGGGCTTCCCCACGGCACACACGCCTGGAACCAAATGACATCCTTTGTCAGGTGGGAGTTTTTTAAGTGGCGCCCTGGAAGGACCACTCTAAAAACAAATGACCAGATCAGAAACCATGGAGCCCTGGCGTTTTTGTAGACGGCTTCGTAGTCAAATATTGACCCCATCTCTTTGGGTAAACATTGATTTACCTTTTAAAATGTAGCATATCTATCACTCCTCCTAGGGTACCTTAGCTCCCGACTCTGCCAGTGTCTGATTTTCCTTCTCTCATCTTTTAACATGGTACTTATTATTCTATGTCAAAACCATCCATTTATTTGAAGTCCTCCCCCCAACACCAACATTTTAGCACTTCACATGTAGAGGTTGTGTGTTCTTTAAATTCTGCAAACCAACCACGTGTCTGGCAGAGCAAGTACCCAGTGTTTGGTGAATGCATTTTAAATAGATGTTTGCTTCGAGTGTGTAATATAATTCTTCTGTGTTTCTGCTACTTATATGGAGGAGAATAATATGGAAGATGTTGTATGAAATTTGGAAAGAATAACAAAAACAATCCAATATTTTAGATGCAGTTTTCAGGATGATGTGGTAAAACATGCTGAAATTTACATTTTACAATAGTCATTCTAGAAAGGAAAAAAATGTTAATATAAAGAGTCTTAGATTTAGTGTCAGGGGGACATTTGTAAATCTTGTTGCATTTGAGAGGGAAACTGGGCAATTTGGAATATTATATCACTTGGGCACAATTTCACATCACCATAAAATAAACTATTAGATCTATTTTTTTTTCAGGCAATAATTAGAAGTCTCTGTTCAAAAAGGAAGAGAAATAAAGAATACTTTTATCTTGGCTTATTTATTTTAGGGTTAGTTTTAGAGTGACTTTAGCAAACATTATATTTATATGTACTAGAGAGAAAATTAAAGAAATTTTAAAAATCCAATTTCTTGAACTGAAGTGATTTAATGAAATGCTCCACTCCTTGATATAGAATATGAGGGAGTATCCCACCAAAATGGAATTTATTTTAAAAAGTTGTATATTTATTCTTACATGTTTAAAGTCCAGTCACCTTTAAAGTACTCTCTATGGATGCAATACACCTATCAAGCCTTTTTTCCACTGCTCAAAACAGTTTTTGAACTTGTTGATTTTGATACTTTTTAGTGCTTTCACTGTTTTTGGTTTCACCTCTTCCACATTGGCAAAACGTTTCCTTTTTAGGACTTTTTTCATTCAGGGGAACAACAACAAAAAGCATTGCTTGGGGTGCGATGGGTCAATAGGGAGGGTGGGGTATGGGGGTCAAGCCATTTAGGGTCAAAAACTGCTGAAGCTGCTGAACACTCAGTGCAGTATGGACAGGCGCGCTTGTAAATCACGGATCACAAAATGAGCAAACGCATTGAAAAGGTCTTCAAAAAAAAATTCACTGAAGCTCAAGGCAACCTCTTACAACAACATCGGCTGGTACATTAATGTAAATGGGTTCCCGGAACACTCACCTGGTGTGGGGGAAGCCTGTACTATAAAGGACCTACCCTCCAGAAGATAATTCTGGGTTTTGGGATGTCCTCCCCTAAAGAACAGAGACATTTCCCTGATCAAGTAGTGAAGAAGAAAAAAAGGGTAAGTGAAGTATGAAGGAGGAAAACTTGGAAAGTGTCTGTTTTTTGAAACAATAAATTTCTTCCCTTATATTTTCATACCTAAGAGTTTCACAATGTTAGGGTTGTCAAATTCCGCCATGAGGGCGGCCTCCCTCTGAAAGTCGGCTTGCATGTCTGCTGAAGCTTCTTCTTTGAGCATCTTCACTGCCACCATAGTGAAAGGTTCGTAGGGGAGTAAGCCTGGAGCCCTGGAAATATATTTATATAGAAAGAAATAAAAGATCAGGAATATTATCCACAGCTACATTGTATCTATCCATATTCATATGCATCCCTCCACTTATGCAGCCTTTCCCAGAGCCACAGAATCAAAGAAAGATACCAATAATAGAATGTACTTAAAATTCCTTGACTTCAGTTAATACTGGAACTATTCTCAACATAGATTAAGTTTGAAAAATGTGTTATTTATCAATTATAGGAATTTGAAAGTGCACAGACCCAATGGGATTATCGTTACCATCCTAACCCCTTAGTCTATGGCCAGAATAGGAAAGCCTGGAAAGAAGGGACCATGACTTCGTCATCCTTCGATCTTCAAAGCACCTAAAAATGATACCTGCATATTTTTGGTCTTTAACAACTATTTATGTGAGATTTTCATTAATCATGTAAACTTCACACCAAGACTACCTTTAATGGATGTAAAGTTGTGTCCTGCCCAAGAGCACTGGGAAAAAGTGATAACTGGTGTTCACATCCTCTGACCCATACCGAGGGGGTATTTTACTCCAGGTTCACTCCAAGGGCTGGCGGTGGGCCTCATACATACTTGTTGCTTGAGCTCGTTTTCTGACATCCTTGCATTATTTTTTCCTTTTTTTTTTTTCCCATTCTATGAACATCTATTTAGTATCTACACACATAAGGTCCTGAGTTCTTAAATTGAAACACTAGTTCAAAGTAAACTTTAATTGAAGTGGAGCATATAGCAATAGAAAACAGAAGAGAAGTAAATTATAGATTATTTACCAAGAACAATGCAAGAAATTATGACTTAAAATGTATATCAAAATTCTTTTTTAGAAAGCAAAGATGATTATACTTTGCTGATTGCTTGTAATTTGAACATGACACAAAGAAAGATTCTCCTCATATATTCTACCCTACTTTTCAGCAGAAAGGGGAATTACTTAGATCCAAAGTATAGTACGCAATACAAATAAAGTTAATGACATGGAGAATTAAACTAATTTGATAATAACTATTATACATACTGTATAGACATTAAGGTAATGGTCTGGTAACTTTTCAGACACAACACAATTCAGTGGAGAGGTGGGTAACTTTACCTTGCTTGAAAGACCCTTCCAAATGCTCCTTCTCCAATATCCCTCACATATTCAATATTATTTCTTGGATACTCCAGGCTGAGCAATTTAGGATTCAGAAGAAGTGGCATCCTCTGGTACATGGGGTTGGGATGTAGTCTATCTAGCAAGAGCTCAGAAGGAAGAGTAGTGAGGGTGACTGCTGCTGATTCTCTGCAGGTTAAGACAGGAGAGAGGGGTGATGAGCTCAAGATCAGGTAAGATCATTGTACTTAGACTTGGGTCCTAAAGAGGTATGACATTTAGTAGGAAACAAAAGAAATTAGACTAAGACAGCCAAAGATCATTTACTTTTAGAGCACTTTTTGTTTAATCTGGAGTCAAAAGTCATATTTTCTCAGGAATTTTGTCACTATCCGATTGAGCAGTGGTGTTGGAGATGAAGGGGAAATTGGGGAGAAATAATAACCATATTCTTCCAAATTATTGTTTAGCTTCTATCTCCTGTGAAAAAATTAACCCGAGGACATGTGATTCTATGCAAAAAGCTACTGAGATTTTTAAAGATCAGGGTGTGGGTGCTGAATTTTAGAGCAATGCAATGGATGGCATCAAGAGACTGGCACTTACATGTATTTTGCCTCCCATCCCCAATTCTGATATTAAATATTCAGGTTTTAAAACATTACTACATGCAGTTAGCTTACACTGGAGTCTTACCTTTTCTTATTTTTCCATTGTTTTCGTCTTCGGCAGCAATAAAGTGTAGTTATGGTAAGCAATGCAAACACTGCAAAGCTGGACATGATGGAGATTATTACAGTCATGGAGTATGTAGGGGAGGCAGAGAAGGAGGAGGAGGAAGAGGAAGGCAGATTTGGAATGTCCACACTTGGCTTTGAGGATGTCATTGGTGGGAATGCTGAAAGTAAACAGTAATTCATCAACCTTGAACTTTTAAGATGCAATGTTTGTATTCAAGCAATAAGTAAACAATTTAATTCTAAGAATGTGTTTTTATGTATTAGATTCTCCCTGGACATACATCTATAAAATTGAATGATAAGAATCCAGTGAAGTCTAGCCCTGGCCAGTGTGGCTCAGTTGGTCAGGGGGGTCATCCTGGAAAACAAGGGGTCATCGATTCCCAGCTGGGGAGCATGCCTGGTTGCAGGTTTGGTTCCCAGGCTGGGCACATATGAGAGACAACCAATGGATATTTCTCTCTCACACGGATGTTTCTCTCCTCTTTACCCCTCCTTTCCCCTTTCTCTAAGACTAAATAAATGAAATCTTTAAAAAAAAATCCAGTGAGGTCTAGTTGTAAGCAAATATAGCTTATAGCATCATAAAATTTTTAAGATGAGACTTAACAGAAAAAAATTTTTTTTCACAACAAATGCTGATCCTGGACTAGGACTCTTTACACCACATCATATTATTTTACGACCTGACAACAATTGTGGAAATTGTTATTAAATAAAATATTTTTAATGAAATTCTGCTTGAAGTCAGGATTGTTTAAAGCTGAGCTTTTATACTGTTGATTTACAAACAATAAAATTAATGGAAGATCAAAATGGAAATATCAGAACACAAATGAGCAGAAGTTACTTCATCTAAAAATTGACTCCTATCAAATTCCAATTAAAAAGGTTTATGCAATATAAAAACAAGATAAAATCTGCATTACTACTGGAAACCAATGGATGCCATATTCATATCACTGTGTAGAGTGCAAAGTCCATTGTGTATCTCTAAAACAACCAAATATTAATATGTTTTAAATCCTTTTAATTGATTGAGTGAAGACAAAAACATGGATACAGAGTATTTTAATAATATAACCAACAAGAATGTTTTAATAGTTAAGAATAAACTTTGTACCCTAAAATGAGAGAATAAATCTTGTTTTAAAATATTTGTGGAACAGTGACAGACATGATCTTTTGTCAGACTACCAAGGTAAATCTCAACAAAATTCAAGAGCAGAAATTATGCATATGTATCATTTGACCAAAATGCAGTTAGAATAGATGAAATAAAAAGCCAATAGGACATCTAAGAAAAAAATGAGTATCTTTTCAATCAAGGAGTAAAAAGTAGCCAAAGTTATAGATTAGAAAATAACTTCCCAACAGTGTGCATGGAATTTGGCCAAAGCTGTGCTGAATAATAAACTCATCGCATTGTGTCTTTCCATTAGATAAAAAAATTAACTAAATATTTAACTCAAGACTTTGGAAAGGAAAAAAACTACAGAAAACAAAGGAAATAGATGATAAAATAACAGCCACATAAAAGCATATAAGCATAAAAGCAGAAGTTAATAAGTTAGAATACACATACCACAAATTATAGAGTTAAAAATAGGTCAATAGTTGGCCTTATGAATATTATTAAGAATCCTAATCAGTGGAATTTTAATGTCAAAATATAGAAAAGGCACAAGCATACAAATGAAGAATGATAAAGGAATTATGACAACAGATTCAAAGGTCAATAAAAATAATATAATTATGCAATTACATTTTTTAAATATTAAGAAAAATGATACTAATGATTACATTTGAAGGATTGGAAGATCTGAATATATCTGTAACAAGGGACTCTAAAAGTCCTTATAGAATTACGGATTCATTCTTTCAGTCTTGGAAGAGATAACATTTTCATATTTTATAATATGTTCCAGGAAGAGAAAAATGTTTCAAATTATTTTAGGAAGTTATTATAATACTAACATCACAACCTAACAATGTTATCACAAAAGAAAAGCACATTCATAGGTTATTAAATATAGATTTAAAAGATCCTAAATGAAATATTAACAACTGACTGCAATATGGTAGGAGACTAATGATTTAATATAAGGAAATATATTATTATACAACATTACAAAGTCAAAAAAATTTTATTGCAGTAGATACCTAAAGACACTTGAAATAGGACATGTAAAAGCAGAGATTACAAGGGATGCCTACATATGACTTCTTGGCCTAGGAGTGGACACAGTGATTATGTCCTGAGCACCCAGAGTTAAGCAAGTGGTATTAAAGCTTGTGGAGACCAAGTTGGGTCACGACTGTGACTCCGGTGGGCGCTTAGAATTGAAAAACATCAACACAGCAGTAAAAAATCTATGCAGGACCAATGACGCATTTCTCAACAAGCATCTCAGCAACAGTGCACTCAACAGGATTCCCAGGCTCCTCTGTTATTAATATGAAAGCTAATCTGATTTTCTTTGAACTGAGTCATCCAAAGGTTTTATTTTGAATCAGTCCAAGATAGATGGCAAGAGGGACCTATTGGAGAGTGAGACCTGCTGCTTATAATCAAGTAGAAGCCATCATTAAGAGACAGGAAAAAGTGACTGTGTTTGTGTCTGGATTTTTCAGAGCAGTCTGTACCATATTTAACATGTGAGGAAATGTAATAAAATTAATAGTTTGTAGTGTAATCCCATTAGTAAATATATGGGTAATTTTTCTCAAAAATAGAAAATAGAATTCAGTAACATATTAAAGGAACAATCCATGACAATTTAGTAGGATTAATTTTGAAAATGCAAGAATTTGCATAGCTCAAACAATAATTTTGCTTTATGGGTTTAATTACTTCTTCCTTTCAGGTTACTTTTATTTTGTTTTTCCTTGATTATTGTTTCTGATTTATTTGTTCCGATTTTCTTTAGAGTGACATTAGTTCTACCTTTGGATTCAGATGATCAGTTTGGATCTCCGGTTTCTTTCCTTTTCAACTTTCTCTGCTCATCATGATTTCATTACCTCTTTATCCTTTGCCTCTGAATATCAGGGGAGTTTTTTTCAGTCATTCATCTATACATTAATGTATTCACTAAATTGACTGTTAAGTATCAAGAATACTATGGTGAACATGACAAGTCTTTGTGTAAAGTATTTAACTGGGAAACAATTAGTAAACAGGTAATTACAATAAAATATAAAAAGTGTTACAAGAATGGTAAGAACAGTGTACTCATAAATATCCAGGGGCAGTCCAACTCCAGCTCTAGGCCAGTTTTCTAGATAAGTAACTACGTTAAATACAAAGGGTGAGTAGGCAATACCAGTTGATGGTATATGTATGTGTGTGTAGAGAAGTGGGGAGATTGTATTCTACAAAGAAGGAATAACGTGTATCAGAGCTTGAACTAAGCAGCTGTAGTGCTTTTCTGAAGCTACATCTAAAAGTTTCATTATTGAGCTAGGGAATCAGGTCTAGGTTATAAAAGGCCTTGGGTACCAAGTTAAGTGATTTGGACGTGACCCTGTAATGGAGAGAATCATCTGAAGGTTTTAGACAGCCGAACAGCATGATCAGCTCTATGTTTTGAAAGATCTAAGTTGCAGCCTAACTTCTTTGGTATTAATGCTCCTATCATGGCTGGTTTCGAGTTATCAATATGAAGTCCTGAATGTGGAGCTGGAAAGAGATGTTCAGTAACACATGATTATATAGGATTTCTACCATACAGATAACAAGGATAAAGAGGAAATTTATGTTTCTATGTAGACAGAAAGAGCAAATTACTTATAGGAAAAGGAACAAGATGCAGGCAACTCATTTCCAAAACTAGAAGCTGGCACAGAGTGAAATCACATTTCAAGACTACTGAGAGAAAATAAATGTCACTTATGAATTCTATATCCAGCTGATATAGCTTTCAACTATCCAGGTAAAAGAAAGCTATTCTGAAGCTTTGCAAGTATTCAGAGACTGTCACCCAAACCTATCTGAGGAAATACATAAAGTATGTGCATTTCCAGAAAATTCAGGAATTCAAGAATAGTGAAATGCTTGCTAAGCCAACAAAGAATGAAAATAGTACAAAGGCATTAAAGGCTTAAAAAGATATTTCTCTTCAGAAAAAGATGTTATAAAATAAAAACTCCTGAATTTTAGTCTGCGTGTTCAGGCAAGTAGAAAATAATGCAAAAGATAGACTAATAATTTTTACAAAGATCTTCCAACACCCTTCAAAGTGAACTGGTGGTATCCTTTTAACTCAGGAATCAAGAAACTCTTCAAGAAGTAAGTGAGGGCTTTACATACTCCCATATAATATGAGAGACACTACCTAATATGGATGCCTTCTTTGCTCAACTGTTGACCTACCTGACAAGCTTAAGCCAATTTCTTTAATAATAATTGCATGTAACTCAGGGAGCACACATTTAGACATTTCCCATCACATGTTCAGATGAAATGACCATTTGGAGTTCCTCTTCTTACATGTACAAAAGGTTTCATAAAAAACTGTTTTTTTGGGGGGAGTAATATTAAAATTTACACTTAATATTGTATAGACATATTTTTAATTTACTAAATTTATTGGGGTGACATTGGTTAATAAAATTATGTAGGTTTCCAGTGTAAAATTCTATACTATATGACCCGTCTATTTCATTGTGTTTACTACCCAAAGTCAATCTCCTTCCATCACTGTATATTTGACTCCATTTACCCTTAGTGACTTCCCCCCAACCCCATTTTCTTCTGGTGACCACCATACTGTTGTCTGTGTATATGGGTTTTTGTTTATCTTGTTTGTTCATTTGTAAAACTGTTTTTTTTTAAGAATAGAAAATGAGCTTATTGTGACTAATTCATACTTATATCTTCATAATTGGTGTAAAAGGCGAAAGTATGGATGCTTTTTGTGCACACTGTTCCTGTCTAATCTAGGATTAAAAGTCAGCACCTTCCACACAGTAAACCTTCAATGAACTGCTTGAATGGATGAAGGAGTAAACAATTGAGGGATAGCAAAACCACAGTCAACAACTAAAAGTCCAATCACAGGAAACTTTGGCTGCTCCTATGAAAATGAATAGAAACATTTTCAGTTTGGGAATGACAATTCAACAGGCTCTCAGAATAATAGATTTTTATTTTTATTTTTTGGTTTTCCCTACTGCTTTTGGTAATAAGGTCTGAAACTTTCAGTTGCAACCAGTAACATTCTTTCTTTTAATATTTTGTCTTGGTCCTTTAACTAAGCTGATAAAATTAAGTCCTGGCACTTAGCCAAGTGCAGAGGTGACTGGATTTGAAATAGGTATCACAGGAAGTGAATATGATTTAAGCCTTAGAACACTCAAATCAAAGCAAGTTAACTAATATTAAAAAAAAAATTCCTATTATCATTCTGAAGATTTCTGCAGTCTTATAGGTTAAAGCACTATCTGATACAAGTCAGTTCCTAAAGGAGATCCCTTTTCAAGCAAACTTCTTGAATTCTTTCCCAGGAATTTTGAGACAATCATTTTAAAATCGCTTGATTTTTCCCTGTAAGCTTTTTATTGGAAATTAGCTGTCTTAACGAAAAAAAAATCTGTCTTCCAAAAGAAGGATCTGTTGTCACAAATAAAGATTGTGAATTGGCTCAATGAAGAAAAAGATATTTGTTTTCAGTCTAAACATTTAGGTGATACAAAAATCATGAATGCAAAGTCAAATGGTGACATTTTCAATTTGCCTCATTTTAGAGCCATATAAGGGATCAAGCAAGCTAACAACCTGGAGGTAGGAGATGTTATTTGTATCATTCACTAAACATGGTGCTCTCCATAACCTAATTAGAAGCTCTAAGCTGAGATCTCCAATGATTTTCCTTCATGTTTTACCCTGGGTGATTACCGTGGCAAAGCCTTTAAGACGAGCTGTGCATTCTGTTCTGGACACTATGAAGTATGAGTGTAAGTACACATGCATGAATCCATTTACGTACACATAAGATTTTCAATGGCACAAACAAAATTACTTACTTGTTAGGTTTTCTTTTACAAAATCTGAGGGGGAAAGGATAAAGATTTGATTTAAGTGAGCATCCAGATATATATTCTGTAAGAGAGTGCTAAGGGCAGGAGGTTCTGTTTCAGTTCTTTAATATGCAACTGGAAAACATTCTTTGCATTCAAATGTGAAAGGATGGCGTCTTTGAAATTAAACCAGCTGTTAGAGTTCCACAAAAGTTCATTAAAGCAACATGCAGGGATTCAGCTTTGTTTTGGGAGGTCAATGTTTTCAAACATTTGGCTTACTTTTGCATGCTTAAAAAATCTGCTTCATTGGCTAAGAAAGAGGACTTTAGTCTTATTCCATTCCTCTGGCAGTGTGAGAAATCACTTAGCCTTTTCTCTGCACATTCCAGAAATCATAACAAGCTCTCCTACGAGCCCCTTATGAAACAAGGTAAGATCTCAAGCAGCAGTTAAAAGTCCTCTTTAATTCCTTTTAGAACAAATGAAGTAGATCCTGATGCTAACCCATGCAATTAGGGTAGCAGTAGGATTCTATTATTAGATATCCGAGGGAGGCAAAACCAAAAAAAAAAAAAAAAGCCTAGAAATATTAGGAGATTTTAGTGCAAACCTTAGTTTCTTTAAAACCAATATATTTCTCTTAATCTCCAAAGTCTTGAGACGACTCTGTTACCTAAATATGGCAATCTGGTACAGGCCCGCGGGCCCCAGTGCATGCTGGGGAGCTTGCTGCATTCAGGCACGGAGAGCAGATGCATCCCGGGTCTGTAGAGGCCTCTGGGGGGCTTTTCTTCCAGCGCCAGCCATTCTTGTGCACAGAAGAGCTCCTTGACTGCCAGGCAGTGTTCTCTGAAATATTTTGTGAAGAACAAAAGTTGATGAATCATGGCATGTTAAAGCCAAATTTGTGGCAGCGCCTAAAGTCATTATTTTCCAAGCATCATCATAGCACATTGTTCTTGCAAAACGGTTTTTGAAAGAACAGTTTTTATTGTAAATAATGTGAGACTTCATGAAATCTCTTATCCTGTGAGATGAAATGGTATCTTGTTTTGTTTTTAAAACATAATTAATGCTACTTTTGAAAATAAGATTCCACATAAAGTATGTTTTTCTTGGGAAAAATAAGAACTTTTAAAACCAAAAGGTATTAGATTAGGAATCTGTCACCTGTATTCTCTCAATTTTCTATTACGATAACAAAAAAGGTACACAAACAAGGTACTGGGAGTTTTAAAAGCACATAGACTAAAAGCCATGGATCATCGTCAATCAATTTCCAGCCTGGGAGAATTTCCTGTAATCTCTAGGTTAATGGGCAGGGCCTGAGAAACGCAGTCCTCACCTCTGCACACTTGTCTTCCAAAAAGAACAGCACCGCCTTCCTGGCAGGTTATAGGAGGGCAGGCAGGCCCTTAACTCAGCCTGGCTTTGGAGAAGCTCAGTCCTATCCCATTGCTGTGTGTGCTTCCCTGCTTCTCTCCCACACCTCCCAATACAAGACAGGAGTGTCAATACTTTAACTGGAATATTGGGTGGAGTGTGTTTTAAAATATATACCTATAATATAAACTAATATTCTGAAATGCTCATCATGATCTCATATTTATTGACAAATAACCCCGAAACACTTAAAAATTAGTTTTATTTTCCCTCCTTCTTTATCTTGGCTTACCAATGAGGTTCATGTTTACAATTTTTTTTTATTGTATGGAAAGCAGGGATATTTATGAAAATGAGAATGTGAACAATAACATGGGCAATAGAATATTACACTTTTTATGATATTTTCTAGGAGCTCAGAGCTCTTGAATTACAGTATCAACAGTGATTTACATGGTAGGAATTTTGTCCAATTAATTGCCTTCTCTTTTGAACAAAAGCTAGTTTTTGCCTGTACTAATGTACATGACAACTTCATAAGTACATTTTCCCATTTACCTATTTTTGAATTTTACCTGCAAATAGGTATAGGAGTAGGTATCACCCCAGGACTGCATTCTTGGAAGATGTGGTTACACAGCAAAGCCTCAGCAGCCGGCCGGCAGAGTGGGCTCACTGCTTTTAGTTCATTCCAGGCGCTGTGGACCAGCAGTTCTTGGGCCTCCTCAGGGTCCACGTAGGAGGTATTGAAGAAAACAAGGGCATCGTTTGCCAGAACCGCATTGCACATCTCTCCTCTGTACTGGGTGCAGTAGCCTTTGTTATCTTTCTGTGGTTTACTGAAAGAAGCAATGAACAATGTTCCCCATCACGTGCTATTTCTTAGCATTCAGTCTGCTTTTTCTTTTTTTTCAGTTTTCACATCTGCATCACAGAAATAGGAGAAAATTGCACTAGCAAATCGGTTGAAATGCTCTATCTGCATATTGTCTTCATTTCCACCTGCAATTACATCACCTCTATCTACTCCAGGGAGGTATTATGAGGATTAACTATGATAATAAATTTGGAAAACTTTGGAAACTATGGGTATCTTTATTATTTGCACTATAAGTAGAATTTGAATGCTTAGTTAAACAGCCTGACATACTTCTTACAAATAAGCTGACATAGGAAAACAAATACATTGAAAAACATATTCATCATGATGATCAACAGATGATTGAGCTTAATAAATGATCCAAAGCTTTACAGTTTATTTATGTGTTAAGATAGTTAAGTACCTGGATGTTGTAGCACACATACATCTTTGTGATACCTTCCACATGCAAATTCCCTCACTCGCACATTTCATTAAAAAATAAAAAGAAAGCCACAGAAGAGAGGAGAAAGCACAGGATGTGGCTGTCAGAGGAGCTGAGTAACATCTTTAGTTTTGCTACTTTACTTTCTCAACACACGTCTTGGAGGGAAATCGTATGGTCGCTCAGAGCCCCAATATCCTAATCCATAAAGTGATGTAAGTAATCTGAACTCAGATTATTGTGTTAATGGGTAATGCATGTCAAGAAAAAACTAAATTCTATAGTACTGGCACAAAAATAAGATTAAAAGCTTATCTGCTATTAACAACCAAAGATAGCAACAAGGAGGATAGAAAATGCTGCTGGTACTCATTTTATATATTCACTGCCTCTTTAGTGGAATGCTGGGAATTATAACAATTCCTACACTCACCTGACAAATATTTACTGAGCTCTTATTTATGTGTAGGCACTGTGATGATCTCAATATATTCTTATGCCTTTCATCAGATCTCTATCTTTAACAATGACATAACACTCAAATTGTATTCTCATTTAATTTGTATAACTGTTGGAAGTTAGTATTTTATTTTCTTTATATAAGGGATTTTAAGATAAGACAATTAAACAAATTGGAATTTGTGGCAAATTTTTAAATTGTTAAGAAGACCCATTTGAATTTGAAAAATTGATACTTTAATTACAAACCACTATTGGCTAGTTTTTAAAGAAAATCTATTAAATGAGATTCAATTCATTCAGGTAAAACAATGAACTTCTAAGAAACAATATACTTTAAACATAATGTTTTAAATAATGTTTTGTAACAGATTTTTCTCTAATTCATACTTGCCTTTTCCTAATCAGCCAAAATACTTTTTACTACATTACTTGTAATTTGTTGGGGGTTTTGAATAAGAAAACAAAGGCCTTGAATAAGAAAACACAAAACTCCCATGAAAGCTTGGGCCAGGTAATGTTGGGAAAACACCCAGAATAATAACTATGACCCCACTTCTTAAGTAAAGAACTCGATCTAAGGTAACGATAAGAAACTTTGAGAGAAGCATGAATGTTTGTGTTTTAAGAAACTGAATAATAATACCTACTAACCAGAAATAGCTCAAGCTGTTTACAAAAAGGTCTCACATACTAACATAATATCTTGATAAAGACAGGAGGATGGATAAGCACAGGTGTGACTCTTCACTTAACCAAAAACAGCCATGTCATGTAAAAGTTAAATATTTCCCACAGTGTCTCTGAGCTGAGCATGATTCATGCAGGTTTGCTGTTACACGCTAACTCTTAATGACTCTATTTTTTCTTTTTCTGTATGTTTTTAAATTAAAAGCACTCATAGTTTTTCTTTAATTACATGAACAAAAGCACACTTTTTAGGAAATATCAGAAACGAAGAAAAAGAAAGAAAAGAGAAATAAAAATAGCCTCAGACAAAGGGATTATTATAATCAATTATTAAACAATCTCTCATTCTGAATTCCTGTTTGCTTCTCCTAAAAAGCCCTAAATTTTTTTTTAACAACTACAGTTGACTTCATTGTATTGAGTCCTCATTTATTTTTTGAGTATTAGCTACATAATGCAAAAAATATATATATAAATAAAAGAAAAAAACAGAATAAGTTTTGAATAGAAATGAGATTTTGGTTGCAGTTTTGGTTTTTCTATCTATCAGCCTGAAGATGTGAAAACTCTTTGCATGCTGAGAAAAACCACAAAATACAAAGTATATGGTTTTTGTTAATTTTTGATATCTCTGTAATATTTCTGGGAGTATTTAAGACTTACCTGTGCTAGTATATCTATACTAGGATTAGCTCCACAAGGTAAGAAATAACATACAGTACCAAATATATTCGTGTTTTATACATATAATATATTATAAATGGAGAGAGACACAGAGAGACTGCCCAGTCATAGTTTCAGGGTTTAAACAACTTCCTTTTCCTTTTTCTCTTCTCAATTGCAGACTTATAAACCTCAAGTTTTATGCAGTTAATCAAATTCTAGCGGTAAAACATGAAGGCAAATTGAGCCATTTTGTCCTTCAACCTCCAGCAAAAACTGAGGGACAAGTTGAACGCAAAGTATTTCCATTGGTGTCTCCTGTTGTCTCTTGCAAGTGAGGGGGCCCCTCCCTGTCCAGCTGAACATGTTTCTCCGCAAGCAGTTCTTTGGACTGTGATGGAGCAACACCAGGAGCAGCTGGTTCTGTTGTTCATTTGAACAGTGGGGCAGAGGTCACAGAGATCTGTTCACAGAATGCTAGTTATTTTGGAACGATCTGCTGGACTCTCTCCAAAACCGCTAGTTAATATTGCACATGGAGCCTGTGCCTCCTGACAAACTAAACCTGGCTGGTCTTCCTTTATGTAAAGTTTCTCTTTTTAGAGGCAACAATGGATATTTGACCCCAAGATCACCTTTTAACTTCTCTTTTTATTTTTTAATATATTTTATTGATTATGCTATTACATTCGTCCCAATTTTCCCCCTGTGCCCCCTCTACCCAGTACCCCCCTTTCCTCCAGCAATCCCCCTCTTAGTTCATGTCCAAGAGTTATGCATATAAGTTCTTTGGTTTTTCCATTTCCTATACTATTTTTAACCTCCCCCTGTTTACTTTGTACATACCAATTTATGTTTCTTAATCCCTGGACCTTTTCTCCCAATCTCTTCCTTCCCCCTCCCAGCTGATAACCTTCCAAGTGATCTCCATATCTATGATTATGTTCCTGTTCTGCTTGTTTGCTTAGTTTGCTTTTCAGATTCAGTTATTGATATTTGTGAATTTGTTGCTTTTTTAATGTTCATAATTTTGATCTTCTTTTTCTTAAATAAGTCCCTTTAACATTTCGTATAATAAGGGCTTGGTGATGATGAACTCCTTTAGCTTTACCTTGTCTGACAAGCACTTTATATGACCTTCCATTCTAAATGGTAGCTTTGCTGGCTAGAGTGATCTAGGTTGTAGGTCCTTGCTTTTCATCACTTTGAATACTTTTTGTGAGTCCCTTTTTGCTTGCGAAGTTTCTTTTGAAAAACCACCTGACAGTTTTACGGGAACTCCTTTGTAGGTAACTCTCTGCTTTTTTCTTGGTGCTTTTAAGAGTCTCTCTTATCTTTACCTTTGATATTTTAATTATGATGTGTCTTGGTGTGGTCCTCTTGGGGTCCAACTTGTTTGGGACTTTCTGTGCTTCCTGGACTTTTATGTCTATTTTCTTCACCAAATTAGGGAAGTTTTCTTTCATTATTTTTTGAAATAAGTTTTCAATTTCTAGCTCTTCCTCTTCTCTTTCTGGCACACCTATGATTCGGATGTTGGTACTTTTGGAGATGTCCCAGAAGCTCCTTACCCTATCCTCATTTTTTAAAATTCTTTTCTCTTCTTGCTGTTCTGAGAGAACACATTTTTCTTCCTTATGTTCCAAATTGTTTATTTGATTCTTGGTTTTATCCCCTCCACTGTTGGTTCCCTGTAGATTTTTCTTTAGTTCACTTAACGTAACCTTCATTTATGCCTGGGTCTTTTTTATGCTGTCGCCATACTCAGTGAGTTCCTTGAGCATCCTGATCACCAGTGTTTTGAACTCTGCATCTGATAGGTTGATCATCTCCATTTCATTTAGTAGTTCTTCTGGAAGTTTATTCTGTCTTTTCATTTGGGCCATATTTCTTTGTCTCTTCATTTTGGCAGCCTCCCTGTGTTTGTTTCTGTTCATTAGGCAGAGCACCTCTGACTCCTAACTCAGTAAAGTGGCCTATTGTAGAAAAGTGTACCTGTGAATTATGTGCGGTGGAGCCTAAGGCAATCTCCAGGTTGGGGCAACCCATGTTACCACATTGTGGCTCTGTGGTGGGGAGGGCTCAGAGAGGGGACAGTGCTGCTGCCCAGCTTCTGGAGGTTTGCCTGGAAGAAAGCTGCCTCCCGGCACTTGCCCTGTTTCCAGTCACTTCACTTTCTCCCTATATGCCACTTTCGCCCTTCTGGCTGTTGCCCTGGTGCTGAATCACAGAGGTGGTGGGTCTGCATAAGTCCTAAGTCTGTGCAGGCCCACTAAGAGGAGTCTCCTGAGGATACAGCAGTTTCTTCCATTGCTCCAAACCCCACTGGTTTTCACAGCCAGGAGTTATGGGGATTTATCTTCTGGGTGCCAGATCCCTAGTCTGAGTGGTCTGGTTTGGGGCTGGGATTCCTTGTTCCCGAGGTAACCCTCCTGACTTTTATCTACCACACGTGGATGTGAGTGGCCCATTCCACTGCTTCTCTGCCCCACTCTGTGCTCTTCACACTTCTCCACACTTCTTCCCCGCTTTGCACCTCTCCGTCCACCTCCACATCTCCACCCCTCATACTTGTCCGGGTGAATGTGGCTTCTTTAAATCCTTGGTTGTTGGACTTCCATACAGCTCAAGTTTCTGATGGTTCTGGGTGATATTTATTTTGCAGTCTAGTTGTAATTTTTTTCTGTAGCTGTGCAAAGAGGTGAAGTGTGTTTACCTATGCCTCCATCTTAACTGGAAGTCCTGTTCTTTTTATTTTTTAAATCCTCACCCAAAGATATCTGTCACTGTGGTCCCACCTCCTCCTATTTTGGGTTCAGAAGAGTGGCCGGGAGTCATCTGAGGGAGGAGTTGCAAGCCTGAGGTTCTGGTTATTCCACGGGGCCGTTAAAGCCCAATAGAGAGGCAGGTGGTGCTGACCAAGGAAGCTCTGGGCCTTTACCCAGGCATCAGACATTAACTTTTATAACAGACAACTGTCCTTGGTCAAATGGAGTATTTAAAGGATTCTCACTACACATTTTACTCTTATTTCTGTCTGCTTTAACATGTATCAGTCACATTTCTAAAAGTTTCTATGAAGGAGACCTCTACTCCCTTTAAATACATAATGCTTTGCCCATGCAGACAACCAGCTACGGTTTGTCTGAGATAAGGCAACCCCACTACATCTTCTACCCTCCCCACGGGTGGCACACCTATACCTATTCTCTGATGTGGACAAATCTTTCCTTATGTACCTACTGTCTGGTCTCCCATTGTACTTTCACAGCAAGTGTTCGATGCCACTTCTAATCTCCAAAGGAAACTGATATTTTTTATTCTTTCATGCCTGGGGCCTTTGTATATGATTCATCATCTAAGGCAGGGTCCACAAATACAACCCACAGGTCAAATGCTGCCTGCTGCCTGTTTTTATATTGCCTGTGAGCTAAGAATAATGTTTAACATTTTTATTTGGTTGAAACAATCAAAAGAAATGAAAATTTTATGAAATTCCAATATCCATGTCTATACGTGGTTTTATTGGGGGCAGAGCTATGTTCAATCTTTTATGAATTATCTATGCTGCTTTTGCCCTGCAACAGCACAGTTGAACGGTGTGGCCACAGAGACCGTATGACCCACAAAGCCAAATATATTTAATACCCGGCCCTTTGCAGAAAAGGTTTGCCAACCCCTGCTCTAGGACATAGATCAAATGTCACTTTTCTGAAATGCCAAACCCAATGTCCTCAAGTAGAAGGACATGGCCTCCTCTGACAAACACCTCTTGTGTTTCTTCTCACTCAAGTGACTACCCATTTATTGATAAAGAGTGAGATAAAGACAAAATTTTAAATTTAAAAAATTTGAAAATTATTATATTAGTCAAATATACATATAGTGCCTTTATATATTTTATTTATTTGTATACATATCAGGTATAACCAGTATATACATAAGTATAATGTATACAGTATTATTATATATGCTAAATGTTGTATATGCACATAGTATATAATTATAGTTAGAATTATTTTATAAATATATTTTTGTATCCTGCATTTTTGCTTAGCATGATATAAACATTTGCCTATGCTATTATGTTTTTCAAAATAATGTCCTAGAGTCACATCACTTTATCTTATTGGTAGATATTGAAACAGCTCATATCAGTAATAAATAAAATGTTTTGAATTATATTGTTCATACACTTATTATTTTCTTAACATAAAAGTGGATTTATCCAATTAATAGATACAACTATTTTAAGTTTCTTAATAAAAATTGCTAAATGCTCTCTGAAAAGGTTATTGCAATTTTCTTTCTAACAGTAGAGTTTGAGAAAGCTTGTGTTGTCACAAGTAGAAAATAGTATGGAATTTTATTTAATTAGCATTTATTTGACAACTAATGAGTTTACAATTTTTTCATTTGCATTTATGTGCATGTGAATAATCTATGTCTGTTCCTGAGTCCTTGGCATTTGTAATACATACTTCCATTATGATGTCCTCTTGCAATTAACCTGTGTGTGTGTGCGCATGTGTGCGCGCACGCTTCCCCTGGTAAACTGTAAATTCCTTGGGGGCAGCGATATAATTTGTCTGTTTCTCTACTTTCCTTTATAGTTCCAGATGTATAGTGTGGTTGAAAAATGCACAGAGAGGACAGGTGTGCTAAGCTGCATGTGACTGAAAGATGGCCTTCTAGTGGTGGCCTGCATTTCATTTTAACTTTTACTGTGTTTACGTTCTATAACCCTTCGGTAGCTATTCAGCTTCAGTGTACAATCCTTAAGTATCAGGACTTTGTTTCTTAGAACTGTGAAAAATGTATACATCCGAGCAATATGAATTGGGATAACATAAAGAACTAATCAAATTTTCTTATGCAGTGTATTCTTTTATTCCACGGAATTAGAAGCAGTAGGTCAGGGTTTAGATCCTGCTCAGTTACTGCGCTATCTAGGTTTGTATAGCAGTTGCCAATCTAAGTTCTTGTCTGTCTACCTGAGATCAGATTGAGGCTCTATAGTTTGCTATGTGAGCCTGGCAATTCTTGGTGCATCAGGTTCTGCACATAAATATGTTCTTATAGTATTAGTTCTTGCCCTCTAAAGTGGCTGAAATGTTGATATAAGAAAAATGGAGATCAAAATGTACCATGAAAATTACCTGCTATTATCATTATTGCTATTATTAATTAATCTGTTTCATCATTTGTAAAATTAGATAAAAATAGTTGTTACACTTGATAGAGTTTTTATGAAAGTCAATTTTACTGCAAATTAAACACTGCACATTGCCAAATGTTATATTACAAGGTAATACTTTCTTATCTACAGGATAAAGCAATGAGGGAGATTTGGGGAGGCAGTTCTCGGTTCCATTTCCAAGCCTATAATTTACCAGCTGCGTAAGTCACTGGAACTCTCCAGTTCAAAGAAACTCTCTTAGTTTCTTTTCTGTACAATAGGGATAATAATAGTACCTATTTCAGGGATTTCCTGGGGATAACTTTAAATAATGCATATAAAGCCCTGCAAACAGTGCTTGATACATCATAAGTATTCAATAGATGGTACCTGTCTTCATTTTCATCATCTTGTAAGAGTATTAAAATGATTCAAAATTAGAACGTTTCTGAAAGATTACAGTGCTCAGCAAATAGACAATAGATGCCATGCCAAACAAAAATTAAAACACAGCAAAACAAACCATTGATATAATAATAGCATCTTACCTCCATTCTTTTTAACAAGAGAGAGTTCCCACAGGAAGTCAGATTGAAGGGAAAAAGAAGCAAAAGTTAGTACATTTTCATCTTGTGGTTTGCAAGAGATAGCTTTGGTACCTCTAATCTCTAAATTTCTGAAAAGTTCTGTGCTTTAGTTAGGAGGCCAGATACCACATTACCAGGCAGAGTTTGAGAAGGAGATTAAGAAAATACTGTCTCTAAGAAATGAATTTTTTTCAAGTTGAAGCAAGTGTGGCTGCCATCAGCCCATGCAGTGTCATAGCTCCGCATATCCCTCTGTTAGCCACCCAGGGACTGTGCATCAGGAAAGCAAGGTGTGGAGGTTAAGAAGGAAGAGGTGAGAGGGGGAGGGGCAGAGGAGAGATGAGAGAGCTGTTATTTCCACAGGCCCACCGGCTTCATAGCCTTGTGACCTGTGCAGCCACACAGGGTCCTGTGCGCAGAAGGAACACATGCTTAGTCTAATGCACTGCTGTTGCCATCTTGAAATACTTAATTTGTTAACAAGGGATCCCCGCATTTTCATTTTGCACCGGGTTCCGTAAATTATGCCCACGGAGTGAAAGCTCAGGGCACTGAGCAAACCGCCCCTCTCCTCAGGTGAGTTATGGGGCTTCTAGCAGGAATGGCTCCAACCTGACTCTCCCAAGGCAGGAAGACCCTCGTGACGGTATAATTGACCAGCATTTCTGAATGATTCCAGCAATTTTTATATAGGAAATCTAAAACTTCACACTCTTTACCAAGCACTTGGTGATCTACGTCCTCCTGTCCCCCGACTCCCATCATAAAAGCAAGAAGTAAAACATATGCTTTGGCTAAATGCAATTTGCCTTAATATTTAGAATTTCTCTTAATGTTGAGGTCTAACTCCTTTTTAAGGTTTCAGCTCCACTTGGGTATTCTTTTGCTATTTTTTTTTTAGAGGATTCTAAAATGAATTCCTCTGAGAGGTCTATCTTCTTGAAAAACCTTGTAAACCCAGAGGTTTGTCTTTCTAATAATTTCTTCGGGCATTTGCGAGGGCTGGTGACTAGAAGGCTTTTGTAACCTTGAGTGTGCTAGTCTTTTGCCTTTATGGGCTTTTCATTAAATGAGCCTGACGATGAGACTCAGAAACCAACTTACAGGAGGTGCCACCGTGACCCAAACCTCATGACAATTCTGCCACTGTACAGATAGAACAGGTGGAAGGAGACGTCAGGAAATTCTTCCAGAGAAAATGGCATGTAATTTAGAGAGGTAAAGGCAGATGCTCAGAGCAGCTGAGCAGGAAGACCTGTTGAAACACGAAGAGGCCAGGGATATGTATATGAAAGAGCCCTTCATTTAAGATGCAAAAGGAGGGTTCAAAACCATGGATATGTGCCAATGACAAAGAGAATCCAGGCATAGTACTTAGATATGCTTCTATTTCAAGGACAAGTATGGAAAGAGAAATGAAATTAACTAAGGGTGCTTGGTTGTCTCAAGATGATTAAGAGAATTAGAGGATGTCCACGTACACTGGGCTTCCGTGAGTTTCTTATAGAAACTTCTCCAGTCACATTTTCTTTTAGGGGAGGGTGGGGAGCAGGGAAGGGGTCCAAGGACCTTGTAATCATAAGTGCTTTTATCACAAAAAAAAGATATTTTAAAATTCCAAAAATTTCCAACAGTCATCTATATTTGTAGTATTTTTAAAAAATTATCTAGAAAAGTAAAAGTAGCAGTAGGTTTGACTCTCTCCTAAAGCATACAGTGACTCTAATATAAGAAAGCTGCCTGATTATAAAAAGAATGCTTAGCTCTTATGCCTAACTGCAGAACAGCTGGTAGCAGTTTAGCGTGGCTTCTGGCTGTTACTCATTTATTCTTTCCCCTTTTATTAAAAGACAAAAACAAAAAACACCTTTAATCAATATGAAACCAGATAGCCGGGTGAGTCCTGGAAATATTGGCAGGAACACTTTGTAAAGGATACGATTGTCTAACCCCTCTGCTGTACACCTGAAACTAATACAAAACAGTATTGAATGTAAACTGTAATTGAAAAAATAAAATTAAAAAAATGGAACCATATAAAGCCACGACAAAATGCCAGGGAACGTTGACTTTTTTTGTTGATAAGAACACTCTCTACCTATGGTGGCTGAGCTGTGTGTTTCTGCTACATCACACATGTCTCATAATTGAGGAGAAGATTAGGGACACATTGGGAGACTGACTCTCTGCTTCTAGACATGACAGAGCATGAAACATGGTAGAACATTCAATCAGCTATATTGATTATGAAATATTATTCAAATTCCTATTTATTTTCTATAATAGTGTGAAATAACAACTCCTTGAAAGTATAGAAAATAAAACTACAGCAGTCCCCCTTTATCCAGTTTCACTTTCTGCAGTTTCAGTTACCTGCGCTCAACCATGGTCTGGAAATATGAAATGAAAAATTGCAGAAATAATTAATGTTTTTAATTGTGTGTCATTCTACGTATGATAAAATCTCGTGACCCTTCGCTCTGGGCCAGGATGCGATCATGCCTTTATTCAACTCCAGGCTGCCCAGCGCTCATCACTAATCACTCAGTTAGTCATGTAGTCGCCCTCTTGCTTATCAGATTGACTGTTGCAATGTCACAGTGCTGGCGTTCAAGTCGCCCTTATTTTACTTAATGATGGCCCCAAGGCACAAGAATACTGATGCTAGCAATTTGGATATGCCAAAGAGAAGTAGTAAAGTGCTTCCTTTGCATAAAAAAGTGAAAGTTCTTGACTTAGGCATTTTACTTCCTCGCATGGCTACAAGAAGGGTAAGTATAGTACCATAAGTTATTTTGAGAGAGAGACCATGTCCACATAACTTCTATTATAGTATATTGTTATAATTGTTCTATTTTATTAATTAGTTGTTAATCTCTTATCGCACCTAATTTATAAATGAAACTCTATCATAAGAACGTATGTATTAGAAAACACCCAGTGTATATAGGCTTCAGTACTATCTGTGGTTCCTGGCGTCCACTGGGGGCCTTGGAACATATGCCCTGTGGATCAGGGGGACTACTGCATGTGGTCTATTGTGGGGTGGAGGGCTCTAATAATACCATATTAGATTGTTCTCCACTGTAGTTTTTGGTTATGTGCCATATATTCATTTGAGGTTTAAATTTAGTGACCAGAAGCTCCAGACCCTGTCAGTCCAAAGAATGGGCATTGCAGAAGGTGGGAGGATATACAGGGGCATAACTGGGGTCAGTGAGGGGGTGTGACCACAGGCTCATCCCTGCACCCTTAGACTGGATGAGCATAGACAGGACTTCGGGTGTCACCCTCCCACAAAGGACCTATTAATGACATTGTGAATGGGAAATATTGTACCAATATGTGTTTTCCTCTCCTGAATCCCTGTGTTGATTTTTCTCTCAGCTTTGTTGAGATATAATTGACATAACAATTTATAAGTTTAAGGTGTACAATGTGTTTATTTGATACCCTTAAATATTGAAAAATGATTACTACCATAGCATTAACTGACACTGACATCACATCACATAATTATCATTTCTGTGTGTGTGTGTGTGTGTGTGTGTGTGTGAAAACATTTACGATCTACTCTCTTAGCTACTTTCAAGTGTGTAATACAGTTTTATTAACTATAATCACCATGTTTTACATTAGATTTCCCAGAGCTTGTCTTAACATAGAAATTTTGTGCCCTTTGATGAACAGCTCCCTCTTTCCTCCAATCCACAGGCCCTGGTAACCACTGTTGTTCTTTATGTTTCTATGAGTTAGGCTTTTTTTAGATGCCACATATAAATGAGACCATACAGCATTTATCTTTCTCTATCTAACTTATTTCAATTAGCGCAATAACCTCAAGTTTCATCCATATGTTGTCACAAATGGCAAGATTTCATTATTTTTATGGCTGAATAATATTCCATTGTGTATATACACCATATCTTCTTTATCCACTTATTTGTTGACAGACACTCAAGTTGTTTTCATATCTTGGCTATTGTGAATAATACTGCAATGAATATGAGAGTGCAAATATCTCCTCAGTATCCTTTTTTCATTTCTTTTGGGTATAAATCCAGAGTGAGATTGCTGGATTATATGGTAGTTTATTTTTAATTTCTTGAGGAATGTCTATACTATTTTCTGTAGTAGCGGAGCTAGTTTGCATTCCCACCAACAGTGCTCAAGAAATTCTTTTTTCCTACAACCTCACTAACACTCGTTAACTCATCTTTTTGATGATAGTCACTCTAATGGGTATGAGGTGGTATTTCATTGTGGTTTTGATTTGCATTTCCCTCATGATTAGTGATGTGGAAAACTTTTTCACAAACATTTTGGCCATTTGTATGCCTTCTTTGGAAAAAAAATCAATTCAAATTCTCTGCCAATTTTTTAATTGTATTATTTGGGTTTTCATTTTTTTAAGTTTAAGAGGTTTTTTTTAAAAAAAATGTATATGTTTTGGATATTAACTCCTTACCAGATACATGATTTGCAAATATTTTCTCCCATCCCATAGGTTGCCTTTTCATTTTGTTGATGGTTTCTTTTGCTCTGCAAAAGCTTTTTAGTTTGAAATAGTTTCACTTGTTTATTTTGCTTCATCATAAATTAATTGACCATATATAAGTATGTTTATTTGGGGGCTCTTAATTCAGTTCCATTTGGTCTATGTGTCCATTTTTGTGCCAGTTCCCATATTGTTTTGATTACTATGGTTTTGTCATATAACTTGAAATCAGGAAATGTGATGTCTCCAGAGCTATTTTTCTTTCTCAAGATAGCTTTGGCTGTTCAGAAACTTCTGTGGTTCCACACAAGTTTTAGGATATTTTGACGGAGACTGCCTAAAGGAATCTGTAAAATGCATTAAGTAGTATGAACATTTTAACAACTTTAATTCTTCTGACCCATAAATACCTTTCCAGTTCTTTGTGTCTTCTTCAATCTCTTTAAATAAAGTCATAGAATTTTCTATGC